ACTAGGCGTGCACAACTATCGAGGCATCTTAGATTTCAAAAAGTTTTATCTCAAATCTCAAGAAACCATTTCTTTTCCAGCTCAAAGGCTTCAGAGGTGGCTCTAGGAATCCAAAAAAAAAAAAAACCAAGGAAATTGCCCCACATTGACAGTGGCAGCAACCTTTTTTCTTTCTTGCAGTGTGGACGCTAGAATTTCCCACATCATCTGTGGTTACAAATTTTGACCCCGACATAGCCTCATAATGTAGCAGCAATGTGGCGGAACAACCTCTAATACGTTATCCACACACACATAATAGGCCAACAAAAACAGTTGTACCATTTATATTTGCTTAGATTTTACGTTACAGAAATGTTTCCCGAACAACCTGTTTTGACACTTAAAAGTAACTGTGTCCTATCCTATAATTAAAGTTACTTTCAAACACAAATCCTTGTTCAACACTTAATTCTGACTCTATGTAACCAAGACACCAGGGGTACAGGGGAAGATGTTTAACCAAGAGCTTATATTGTTAGCACCAAAGCAGTGCAATAGAAGAAGGGAAAATTTTTTTTTCCCTAGCTAGAGAGATGATAAAGAAAGCTACAATTTTTATGTGATGGGTGTGAACTGGTAAGGTGAAGAAACTGTTTTAGATGCTAATACTTTAGTAAAGGACACTAAGCTTTAGCAAAAGGACAGCGCACTAGGATCCCAAATTCCCCTATAATTGCTACATCTTTTATAAAAGGAGAAAAGCTGCTCTCTTCCCCATAGTTTTATCACAATATAAAGATGAACAATTGAGTCAGGATCATCATCATGAAATTACAATCAGAAATTTGGAGTCAAAATGACAAAAAGAGCCCATTTAGTATAAGATCAAAAAGTGACTAAAAAAGCAGAAGAGGTGTTAGATTTTCCCCTTGCTATATTTTATTTTAGGGTAAAGGGGAAGTGGGAACCGATGATGGGTAATGGAATTTTCTTTCAAAAGCTATCGCTTTCCACAATAATGGAAAGAAAGATGCCCATGGCACCAAGCCATGGAATCAATGTAAGAGAGAATAACTAAAAGCTCTCAGTTTTAGATCAAAATTTCCCTATTTTCTTATTCTTTTTCTACTTTGAGTTTGGAGTCTTTGGACCAAAACTCAATTTTAGCTGTCCAAACAATCATAAATGTAGGTCACAAGGTTGAAACCTAAATTCATAATTACAAATACTGAACACCCTCATCAAACAGTCTCAAGTTGAAATCCTTGACAATTATTGAGAACACATCATATGCCTAAATTTACCAATGCTTCTTCACAACATTGACAATTATTGGCTGTTTTCTTTGAGCAATCAATATTTGCTTACTCTAGGAGTCATATTAAATGCCACTTTAAATATCCTGGCAACCATTCCCCACAAATTCAATGCTTTACTTTTTCAACTTTGAATTTCTGAAAATAAGTTTCCACAAGCATGATCCCATTACCTTTTCACGATATTCTATTTGCATTTTCTTACTTTTGAATTGGAAAATCCCCCAACACTTGTTCAATTTAAAGACAAAGCTATCATTTGAAAAGGAGCATAACTGTGACCGAGTTTACTTACAAAATCTAAATTATAAATATGTAGAAGATTTAAGTAAGAATTATCATTCAGAGAAAAGCAAATCAATAGAAATTTAGAAGTGAAAAATATACCTGACACTAGAGGGGTAAGAACATCCAGAACTGCCTGTAAAATAGCCGCAGAAAAAAAGGGGAAAAAAGAGTAAGTCTTGGACAATCGCTTTTTTCTGAAATTTTCTTCCATTTTTGCTACATAAAAATTTCAAAAAAACAGAAAAGAAAAGAAATTGCTTAAATGAGAGGAAAATGGCTTACTTGGGTCAGTTGTAATGACAGTAGCAGTGCCAGAAAAATCACAAGAGCCTGCAGCTTGACCCTTCTTCTGGAAATAGCTGTTAACAGCATAGTTACAGTGAGCCCTAACCGTGTTGGGTGTATAACAAGGCCCGTTTTGATGAGTAGGGTTACAATCAGCCCCAGCTCCACAAGCATAGTCCAAGGTCTTCTGTAAAACTGAATCACTCAACCCATCCTTGCAAATGCACCATGTGGCACCTGCACGAATCCGCCGTCACAAGAAAAAGGAAAAATCAGTCCATCTTTATTTTGGAAGAGGAGAAAAAAGTAAGGTTGACAGCAAGCATCAGTAAAATTTAAGCATGGGAAAATCTATTGGGAAAACAAAAATGGGTTGTTTGGGAACCAAGAAAATATGCAGTAAAGTCTGTGAGACAAAGCAGAGTACTAAAGGAAACATTTTTAGCTCATAACAGAGATCCATTAACCCATGGGAAGAAGCTGGAAGAAACCAGAAAAAAGGACAAAAAAAATGTTTCTAGAATATTAACATACAATGAAATGGTGCAAGTGTTAAAGACCCACTCCCACTCCCCTCAAAATAAAGAAAAAAATGGACTTGCAGTATCAGTAGAATGAAGAGAAGAAGATAAATGTTTACACCATGAAAACAAAAATGGGTTTTGTAGCTTTAGATGAAAGAACAAGAGAGCAAAGAAAAAAGAAGGGAAGAGAACTTTGATTTGAATAACATACTTGAATGGCCAGTCATGGCCAAAATAAGCAGTACAAGCACTAACTTAGCCATTACTGATGAGCTAGGGGTATGGAATACTGCCTGTGTGAGAGATGGAGAGAGAAATAAAGGTTAGAAGAAGATAGCAATTGTGCTCACTGCCCAGCGAGAGAGTTAGGTGCAATTTGAAAGAGAGAGTAGGGGGAAAAGGTGTATGGGGCAGTGTGAGAAATTGGTGGATATGTAGAGACTAGAGAGAGAAAGAACATGTGAAAGGGTAACCTTGATGGTGGGGGCAAGGTGGCCTAGGTTGTGTCGGTTTGCGAGTGCTTTATTGAACCTTACTTCATGTACTTGGCTAAAATTCGACCCTACTTCACGGACAGATGTTCAGTACGTAATACTATTTACTGTATTTTATTTACCAGCAAGAAGTTAGTGAGGTAAAGGTTGGCATACATTAATTTAAAATTATTTAAAATTAAAATTAAAAGTTATTTAATATTTAATTTTTTTTTATGTATAATAAATATATTTTATTTTAATAAAATATTATATTATATAGACTACATTAAATTACATAATGTATATCTTTATTTATAATAAATTTTATAATATTAAAAATTATCTCTTATTGCACTCGGATTTTTGAACTCAATGACATCAAGTCACGTATACGTACATTCTCTCACTTTCAGGACAACGGGTTCAAATTTGACCATTTACGAATTTATTCAAAAAAAAATATCTCTTATTTAATATTTTTTATTTTTTTTGAACATTTTTAATATTTTTTATTTTATAATTTAACATAACAAATATATTATATTACCACTAGGCCTCAAGGGCCAGATGCTAATAATATTTACTTTGTTTATTGTAAAATTTTTGAACATTTTTAATATTTTTTATTTTATAATTTAACATAACAAATATATTATATTATATATGGTGTGCCTCAAAGTTGCATTAATTATTAATTTTCTTCGTTAATTCACATATAAAAATACAAAAATTAACAACTTGATTTTCAACTTATGTACACATTCACAATTTTGAATGAAAGCGAAGTTGATGTTTATTTTCTTCATAATAATTAATGAGAAAAAAGTGTAACTAATGCATGTTTAAGAGAACATGATAGAACCCTTTTTTTTTAAATGAAGTGTAAAGGGTACTATTTGTATTAATTATATATTTTTTTATTAATTGTTGTAAAAAATAAAAAAATAACTTTAATTTTGTTAATAACTCAATTAAAATGATACACATATAATTAGTATTGAAGATAAAGTTAATTTTTGTATTTTTTTATATAAATTAATAAAAAGTACATATAATACACTCTTAATCTGCACCATAAATACACAAATTAAACAAACTTTTATTTTAATTCCAATTTTTTTAATA